GTGCCGAAGGATTCTCAGCATGCCGGAGCCAGCCAAGTCAGCCGCCGCCTCCCCGGAGCCGGCAGGCCGGCCAGCCGGCCGGCGGGGAAGCCAGGGAGGCCGGGCGGGCGGGCAGGGAGGGAGGGAGGGAGGGGGGAAGCCGGGCCTCGCCTCCGCCGCCGCCTCCTCCTCCCCGGAGCCGGCAGGCAGGGGGGGGAAAACCGGCCTCGCCGCCGCCGCGGGGAGATGGGGGGATGGAGGAGACGGAGCTCTTCTCCCCCCCTCTCCCGCGAGTATCGCGGGTCCCCCCTTGTGCTTATCTAATTCCCTCTTGAAGCCATCCACCCTTGTAGCCGCCGCCACCTCCTGTGGCAGTGAATTCCATGTGTGAAAGAACTGATCCCAGGAGCTTGTGAAGAAACTCAACCAGTTTATTTGTATATTATGCAACTTGGGTCTGGAGTAGGGTCTGCAGGTTGACTGCTGTGGCAGACAATCTTCGGCCCCTGTGTTCCTGTCTCCTGCTGCCACATCAAGCAGCAGCAGGAGTGAAAATGAAGAAGGAGATGGTGTCTATCATGTTTACCACTGAGACTTGGAGGATTCGTAGAGCCCCCCTTGAAAAGTTGACATCACTTCTGGGTAGGATTGCCAGCCTCCAGGTGGGACCTGGGGATCTACCGGAATTACACCTCCTCTCCAGACTACAGAGATCAGTTCCCTGGAGAAAATGGATGTTTTGGAGGGTGAACTGTATGGCCTTGTCCCCCACTATGGTCCCTGTCCTCCTCCAGCTCCATCCTCAAATCTCCAAGAGTTTCCCAGCCTGGATCTGACAATCCTACCCCCACATCACCCACTGGAGGTCAGGGGGGACCTAGCAACCCTACTTCTGAGTCTTACACCTGAGAACCCTAGCCTAAAGGCCATTACGACAACCACTCCAGAAGCCACCTGAGCAACCACAACCAGAGCTCCGTCTTCCCAGACACACCGTGAGCCAGAACTGCAACTGATCTCCAGACTACAGACATGAATTCCCCTGGGGACAATGGCAGGTTCACAGGGTGAACTCTATAACACCACATCTCTGCTAAGTTCCCTCCACAAATTCTCCCCTCCCCGGACTTTGCCTCCAAATCTCCAGGCATTTCCCATTCCAGAGCTGGCAGCCCTAGATGGTATGTATAAGCTCATCACACTGCCCCACAGATAGGGTTGCCAGGTCCTACCCAGCTACCAGCAGGGTGCTCCAGGGTCCGTCCCAGGATCTTCTGGTGTGTGGACAAAATGTGTGCACCGCCCAGGCTCTTTTTGTAGCAGGAGCTCCTTTGCATATTAGGCGACACACCCCCTAATATAGCCAATCCTGCAAGAGCTTACAGTAGCCCCTGTAAGAAGAGCTCTGTAAGCTCTTGGAGGATTGGCTACATTAGGGGGTGTGTTGCCTAATATGCAAAGGAGCTCCTTCTACAAAAAGAGCCCACCTGGAAGTGACGGCATCATATCGCTGCCATATCAGGAGTGATGCTCTAGTTTTGGGACAAAGCTCTATGGTTTGAGCCCAATTTGACAATGGAGTTTTGCCCAAAAGCTAGAGTGCCCCCCCCCCCGATGTCGGCGACATAATTGTGTCACTTCTGGGTGATGTCATTCTGTCGCATTAGAGGACATTTGCGGGTGGGGTTTTCCCCCATTGGCCACTTGGCTGGCAGTAGAAAGGGCCCCACAAAAGTGAAGGAGCCCCGCCTGGAACAGGGGTCTGGCAACCCTACCCACAGAGTTTTCTCCCCCTCTGGGGAATTCACCCAATGAATAGGGTCAGATCCAGAATGAAGAGGGGGAGCCCTGGCTTGGAGAGCCCAGGCAAGCCCAGTCTCATCAGATCTCGGAAGCTAAGCAGTGCTGACTCTGGCAAGTACTTGGAAGGGCGACCTCCAAAGAATAGCAGGGCTGGAATGCAGAGGCAGACAATAGCAAGCCACCTCTCTGAAACACCCAAGGCCCATTAGGGGCCGCCAGACGTCAACCATGACTTCCAGGCATACACACACACACAAAATACCCCTCCAAAAAAAAGAGTGGAGAGGGAGTAAATGCAACAAGCTGTTGTGGCACAGTACCTACACTGCTGAGCATGAAGTGGGAAACCTGGGTTCAAACCCTTCATTTAAAGTGGGCCTTACACAGACGTTCCAAGTACTTTGTTGTCCCTTTGTGTTGTGAGAAAGGGCAAAGCAAATTTCAGCAGGGAAACCGTCCTTTCAGACCTCCCTTGTCCTGTGACCATATGATGCTGCCTTATACTGAGTCAGACCATTTGGTCTACAATGGTCAGGACTGTCTACTACAGGACAGTGGCTCTCCAGGGTCTTCAGCAGAGGTCCTTCACATCACCTACTGCCTGACCCTTTTAAGCAGAGATACTGGGGACTGAACCTGAGATTTTGTGCATGCCAAGCAGGTGCCCAGCCACTGAGCCACAGCCCCTTCCACTGTGTTTTCCATCTCCTGAGCTGCCTGCCCACTCAGTTCTTAGCCTGAACAGGGCTGCCTCCTCCCCCCACCCCGCCCCCTCTCCCATAATTAAGAAGCCACTCAAAGCTTGCTGCTGAAACACGAGCTTATTACCAAGTGAGACGCAATCAGAGGAGGGCCAGCTCTCTCCACAACAGCTCCTTGGTGGACAGTTACAAATGCATTTTATTATTGGAAATTCTTCACAATTACCAGATCAGATCAGCTGGCAGGGCACCAGGGTTGCTTATCAAAGGCACCCACCCAGAACCTTCTCCTTCCCTGCTCTGCTGGGAATATGAGGCAGAGGAGCTGGCCGAAGTTGCAGAGGACAAGGCTCTGGTAAGACCTCATTAAGCCCGGGAGGAGGGAAGGAAGCACTCCATGGATATGATTGCACCCTCTTTTTCTGGGCTCCAGGGCAAAGGGGGAAGGGGAGGTTTTTGCAGCCACAATAACAGGGACACCAGCCTCCAGGTGGGACCTGGAATTATAGATCATGTCCAGACTACAGAGATTAGTTCCCCTGGAGAAAATGGATGCTTTGGAGGGTGGACTCTACGGCAATGTACCCCACTGAGGTCTCTGTACTCCCCAGGCTCCACCCCCAAATCCCTAAGAGCTTCCCAACCTGTATCTGACAACCTTATCTCCCCATCCCCCACTGATGGCTAGGCAGGACATGGCAACCCTACACAGGAAGCTGCCCCCTCCCACAGGCAGGTGCAGAGCCATAGTGCCTGGGTGCTGGAAAATAGACTGTAGCGGATGGGTAAGCACACATCTTAAATGCCCAGTAGGTGAGCTGGCCCTGTTCTGTTTTCCCTTCATTGCACCTCTTTTTTGCCTAGATGGTGTATATACTCCATTCTGGAGCTAGATGCCTAGGAGGTTTTGCCTAGGAGGTACGCAAGGCAAAGCTATGATCAGCAAACTGCTTCCTTCAGCACCTGTTTGGTCAGGTCTCCGCTGACCCGCCCCTTGAGGAAGTCTCATCTGCAAAGACCCACCACCGGGCAGACTGTGCTGGTTTTTGCTGGGAGGGACCACCCACATTTTAATGTTTTTCACCCACTTCAAAAGGAGACCAAAGAGGCCTCTGGCTCCCTGCAGGCAACGAGCTTGCGGGAAATCTGCTGAATACAGAAACCCAGAAGGGAAGCAGCACTGTCTGGGGCAGACAGTTCCAGGTTAAAGAAACATACTGGAGGACTCTTGGTGGGTCCCGGAAGCTTATTCTAGTATCTTCCCCTTCCCACTGATGGAGAATCTGGGGAGTGTTCTCGGCAGGACTGTTTCTCAGGATGCTGGAAAGCACTCCCAATGTTTTTAATTTTATTTAAGAGCCAAGTGCCCCAGCACTGGGGCAGGGGAGGTTTAATTCTCATTTTACTTATTTTAAATACTTCTATCTGAAACATGCGCAATGAGACTCATAGCATTTCTTTCAGAACCCTTAACACATTAAGCAGGTAAACAAAATAGCAGCTATCGAAAACAACCTCCCATCTCCAAGTGTATTAAAAGCATAAAAATCCTTAAAACCGACCACAGGAGCAGGAGCTACAAACAATCTAAATAGATGAGAAGCAAAACAAAAGAAAAGTACCCAAAACCACTTACCAATGTTCCTTCTATGCTGTTCCCTAGAGAGAAGAATCTCTCTCTCTCTTTCTCTCTCTTGCACACACTCACACACACACTTGCACTACAGAGTTGCTCTTCGCTGGAGTGGAGCTGGCACCCTGCCTTTCCCCCCCATGAGGCTAATAGTAGCTTAGGACCCCAGCTTTTTCCTGGGGAATTGCACAGGGAGAAAGATTAACTTCACTCCAGTGCCATTGCTCCAGTCCACAACATCATCCCGTGTGTGTGTGTGTGTGTGTGTGTGTGTGTGTGTGAAAGAGAGAGAGAGAGAGAGAGAGAGAGAGAGATCTGACAAGATTGGGCTGCACTATACCCTTCCACATTCCCCTTCCCCTATATAGCCACTTTTAAATAAAATTATTGCAGACCATGAGAGATTTGGCCATGATTTTTCAGCATCTGTCCTATTAGCCTGCCTCATGAGGCAGGCGAAAAGCAACAAGGGATTCTAAGCAACAAAACGCAATGGGAAGCCCCATATAACTCGGGGGGGGGGGGCTCATTTGAGTTCCCAAAACCATGTTCTCCCCTTCCTAGGACTGTCAGTACTCTAATAACATATAGCAACTAGGAAGAGCAGAAACTTCCTTTCCATATTATTTTGCCCAAGACATGCATAATTACATATCAAAAGAACTATGCTGCTCACTGGAAAACCTACCAGGTATTAAAAGGAAGCTGAATTTCCTCCTGAGCTGGCAGCGACACAATTTAACTTTCAGCAAAACACCAAGGTAGAAAGGAAGCTACCTTGGTGAAGGGGCTCAACTACCAGATGCTGGCATGCTTATGAGAGACAGGGACACTTGGCCAACAGACAAAGGGCAACATCTTGAACAGGTGCATTGTAGGCAATTTGTGCTTCTTATCAAACTGTTTGGTATTGGCAGCTCCCCAAGAGCTTCTTCTGTCAAGGCAAGTTATCTTTGCAAACTGTGTCTAGGGATTTTTGTTTCCTAAAGACGAAACTGTGCAACAGATCTCACAATCTGGCATCCGTTGGACTATGTTTGCAAACCAAGGAAGCTGAAGCTGTGCACACACCAGTTGTCTCCGTGTTCTCTGAAGAAGAGCTACATTTGTCAGGGAAGAACTTCTTTTCATCCCACTCTTTTCCCTCCATGCACGCACACACACAGAGTTTGCTGATATGCACTATACAACACAGCCAGAAGTTCACAGTAAATCATTCATATTTATGTCAAAGCAAGTTTCCAATAGGGATAGAGAAACCTTATTGATTCCTCCATGGCACCAAACTTGAAAGGCCAGGCTGCTCAACAGCAAGAGCACGAGAGCAGGGCTAGGAGGCCTGGGTTCCAGTCCCACATCCACACACAGACTCCTGCGGCTTAAGCACATTTTAAACTTTTTTATTTACATTATTTCTAGTTTGCCTTTCTCAGTGAGATTCAAGAGGGCTTGTTTGTAAATATTAAATGCAAACAGTAAGAACGACAGTCTAAATGGATGAGATGAACGATCCATCTAATTTAGTCTCCTGTTTCATTCTGTGGCCAATCAGATGCCCCTTGGAAGGCCCACAAGCAGAGTACAGAGGCCAAAGTCACGCCCTATAGCTGCTCCACGCAGCAATGGTATTTAAAGGGAAGTCCCATCTAGTCAACAGACACTGATAGACCTGTGTATGTAAAGTGCCATCAAGCTACAGCCCACTTATGGTGGCCTCACAGGGTTCTCAAGGCAAAGTCTTCCTTGGTGGTCTCCCATCCAAGTGTCAACCCTGCTTTTGAGAAGAAGACGGGGGTGGCATAAGCCCCTCTCCCTCCCCTCCTGCAAGATTTAAAGGGCCCTTCAGCTGATCCATGGGGAACACGTGGCCCACCAGTCAGCTAGAGGGCCCTTTAAATCTTGCAGGAGGGAAAGA